TTATTGTGAAGAATAACTTTCAGTTGGTGCTTATGTTTAATTATGCTCAATCTATCTAGTATGGATTCAATTGCAGCCCACTTTACCATATAAGGTAGAATTGACTTCCCTTACTGCAGGAAATTAGATCTGCAATAATTTACTGATAATTTACTGATAATTGGGAATTTGGGATATGTACAGAAAGTGGCTTACAAAAGTTACATAACATTACATAACCTTAGAAACTAATTATAATCACATAACACAACAATACTAATAGTAAGAAACCCTACATACACTAAATTTAATGATAGTTTCCAATGGTTTACCACAATATTAATCTTATCAATCTATCTTCTTTAATTAATTCTGCTTACTTATCATTATTCTAAATTTAGATTCCTTGTATAATACCATTTATGACTTGTTTGTCATTTTGTGTGATCGTGTGAGTAGTTTATTTAATTTTACTCCAACTATTATCTTTAAAATAGCTATTGCTTTACAACTATTATTTTTAAAATAGCTATTGCTTTACAACTATTATCTTTAAAATAGCTATTGCTTTACAACTAATATCTTTAAAATAGCTATTGCTCTAACATTTGTGTAGGATCCTGTGTTAAAATTCTTGTAATGGAAGTGAGTTGTGCCATTAATTCTGACTTTCTCCCACTCCCCATTTATGGTACATGTATACATATTGTGCACTGTATATTTGTATTATTATATGCTGCCTGCTTTTAAAATGAATTGACATTTGGTCTAGTTGTCATTTGCAAAACGCTAGGAATTAGTATTGTTAGCTAGTTGCTATTACAGTGAGCTGCTTGCAGCATTAGTGTACATGTATGTGTACAGATAAACAAAACTAATTCACCCATTAGAGGCAGTATTTTATTTCTTATGCATTAAATATATAATAACAAAATCTATTGTTATGCATAATTGTATATGACACTGCACAACCCTTGACCCTCTTCTTCCTTTCTCTCACTCTTCTTTTCTCCTTCTTCTTTCATAGTCTGAGACTAGTGGCCCTGAAGACACTCCTGGGTGAGTATACTTTTCACTGCTTTATGTATTATATTTAACTATGGCTGAGGCCCCCACATTGACTACCTCTTTTAATAACTCAGCCCATGACAGCCCACCTAAAAATAAAACAGTTCTCTTTTGATGCTTTTTTCTCTTGTAAGTCTAAGGCATGCTCAGTTTAAGGCAATTTTATTTCATAATAATTGTGTCAAGTTTTTTCGAAAAATAATGACATAATGTCTGTATTGAGTACTGTTAATTTGTAATTTAATGTGACGTCTTTAGCTCTACTTGCTGGAAATATTGTAATATTAATTCATAGGATTATCATTTCTGAAAAATGGCCTGTACTATAGTGTAGCCCATGGTTTTTTCCAAAAAAAGGCTCCAAAATGACCTTTATTACATTTTCTGATGCATATTGATGTCCTTATGCTGTGTAGAAAATGTTCCAGATTCAATTTATCAAATTACAGCTATCTGAGGAGATACACCATATTATTTGAAAATACCACGAGATCACTGTTAGCATAACTTTTTGAATTAATCAGGGCAAGATAGAGGTAGCAATTAATACACTCCTTCTGTCAATGTCAATGGAGTGTGTCATTGCCTTTCTTTTGATTCATTGCATCAGTAATATCATTTATGGCTACTATAATTGTGTGGTATACTAAATAGCTATAAAATAGCTATAGTAGAGTTTATGACCCTTATGATACTGCACTATAATGTACATACCTAGTGTTGGTGAGAAAAGGATTCAGTTTTTTAAGAATAACATTAGTAGCTTTATACATCAGTGTACATACAGTTATATAGCTGAGTTGTTCTCCTCAGCTGTTACATTCATAAGTCATATTGTCTTTATACCAAACCATTACTACTTGTATTGTATTATGATATTTAATTTAATGCATTCAACATTTTCATTATTTGTACAAATGGTTCGAGGAGTTTTGTTTGAGTTTTAATAACAAAAATTATGAACCAATTTGATTGGCATGTTGGTATGATTTAGATAGAATCTTGTGGCTGAATGTTCTAAGACTATTTTAAAAGATATGCATTTAAAGATATACTGTTAGTAACTGAGTTAATAAGATATATTCATTCATGTATACTGTTATATCTTTAATAGTCTACATCTTTTGATTGGGACAAGATAAGAAAGAAAGGAAAGAAAGAAAAGAAAGGCTTAAAGTTAGATCCAAGGATATTTAAAAACTGAACCTGAGGTAAGTGATGAACAGCCAATGAGCCTGCATGTATTGTATTATTTCAATACAGGAAAGTGTAGATGAAGTGAAGAATAAGAGCAAACCATTATCTGAGGAAATGAAAGACTACACAGTTCAGTATCTGAGGAGGTGAAGGACCTATGCAGTTCAATGGATCAGTTGTTATCTATTGTTAACAGTATAAAGAATGAAAGACAAGGAGGAGGAGGAGGAGAAGTAAGAGGACCAGAGAACTAGTGTTTGAGAAGGAGGAAGGAGGAGTTGAACTTTAACTTATAGATTTTATTGTGTGGTATTTAGAGAATGCTAAACTCTTTATTTATTTTCTTTTTTTAGTATTTTTAGTATCTAGTTATATGCTTCTTATTACTAATAGTTTTTATTTTGAGTGTCCCTTTATTAGTCTTAATTTTTATGCTGTTTAGACTAGATTTCTGGCATTGATGTGATCATCTAACAGTGATTACACATGATTTGTGAATATTGCATGATTAGATTAGATTGAATACAACACCAAACCTGAGTTCCCTTCAGGTCTGAACTTAACCATTCTACCTTGTCCTAATCAAAAGATATAGACTCGTCTAATAACTAGTGATAACAAAAGTATACACAAATTCTCGTCTATCCCAAATTTTTATTACATTTTCTGATACATATTGATGTACTTATGCTATGTAGAAAGTTTGAGCCAATTCCAACTTCAGTTTACTCAAATTATGGTCATCTGAGGAGATGCCATTATTAAAAATACCATTAAATTAATAAGGTTACTGTTAGCATAACTTATTGAATTAATTGGGACGAGCCAGAGGAAGCAAGACACTCCCTCTGTCTATGTTAATGGAGTGTGTTGCTACTCACTTTAGTTTCGATTAACTCAATAATTAATTTATTCTAGTGATAATAAATTGAATGAGGTTGAATAACTAAACTAATCAACTGATGATTGAGTAGAGTAACCTGATTAGTGAATTGCAATACATGCATGCAGCTGCTAGGCTGTGACTAAAATTCCCGACTTATAAATATACTTTGTATTTATATTTGCTAACCTGTCTTCTCTAATGCTCATCATTCACTGGCTATCTGTTGATTCAATGCATCAGTAATTATGGCCACTAATTGTGTGTTATAGTGAAGTATTTCATTGACATACTGCATTGAAATGTAGTGTTGTATGATGAGAAAAGAATTTACATAGTTTACATAGTTTAATTGTGATAGGGGCTGAGTTGTTCTCCCCAGCAGCTGTTTCGAGTTGTTTTCCCCAGCTGTTTCATGCATAAATCACTCTAGCTTGCAAACTATTTTATGTATTACACTGGTATAGTATGCTATTGTATTATAATAATGTTTTATGTGTTTTACATAATAGATTCAACATTTTCATTATGTATAAAAACTAATTTTATTCTAGTACATTTACAGGGTAAGAAAGTAATACATGGTTACTGTATGTAAATTTGTTAACTTTCTCGTAGTGTTTCACAAAGAAGTTTGTTGGAGTTTTATTAACAAAAATTATAAACCTTTAAAATGGAACAAAACAATTGATGTCAGGTTGGGATGATTCAGAGAGAATTTTGTAGCTGAATGTTCTAAAGACTATTTGAGTTAAAAGCTAGTGTTGGTAAGTTTATTAGATATTAATAAGTAATATAACATTGATCTATCTACTTTAGTTAAATTCTGCTTACTTATCATTATTCTAAATTTAGATTCCTTGAATAATACCATTTATGGCTTGTTTGTCATTTGCGTGACCGTGTGAGAAGTTTATTTAATTTTACTCCAACTATTGTGTGTAGTAATAGCTATTTCTCTAAACTTTGTGTAGGATCCTATGTTTAGCATGTTTGACTAACTGTCATGATAGTTGATGGTAATTGTGTTATAGTATAAGTGCTATATTAACCTAATATTCAATTATGATAGTTCTAATTATACTTTTATTTTATAACAACTATTTTGACACAATATCCTAGGCAATGTTTAGGACAATAACATGTTTTAACAATAGGGCTACTTCAGCTGTTCTGACATAGGATATTGTATAGCTCCAAACTTTTGTGAGTCAAAAATTTTATGAATATCTTAATCTTTGTTAAAATTATTTTTTGTCATTAAAGTTTTTATAATTCAGCAGGCTATACGTGGAGCAAAAATTTTGTCAAGAAAAGTTTTGTTTAAACAAAATGCCCCGATGAATTTGACAAAATTTTTGATTAACAAGAATTTGGAGCTGTATGGTACATATGTAGCTCATTTATTATCCTATCGCTAGTTGGCATCTCATTAAAATATGGCAATGTATTGTTATGCTCACAGAGTTTTATTGAAACTGACTTGGGGGAATCATAAATTAGGGGAGTTAGTAGTTCAATATAACAAACTAAATAGCTAATGCATGAACTTTGCCGATTGAGCTAGCAAATCACATCAAGTTGATCAGTTGCAAAAGAATTAGCCTAGGCTTAGAAGTGATAGAATTCTCTCAAATCATTATGCTGCAGCTAAAGTTAATTGAATAATTAATCTGTCTTCTCCAATTATTAAATCTACTTATTTAGACTCCTTGCATAATACCATTTATGACTTGTTTGTCAT